TGACATCACTCGAATCAGCATATAGACAATCATGCTGTAGCATTATCTTACTATCACTTGCATTGTCTGTAAGATGAAGATTATATTGAATTGATTTAATCAATATGATCATCAAATCTCAGATGAAAATTCCATCCAACAATATGATAAACTAGAAATAAATGTCAACCGAAGTAATTTTTCATTCTATTCTCATTCTGTATAAATAATAAAAAGCATTTGAAAACTGTCATGATATTTATGCTGAATAAACCTCCACCCTTCTGCTCCCAACATATGGCTAAGATTTTACTTATGTACTAATGTAAGGGCATGGTAAATTCCGCTTTTCTGGAAATTCAAAATTGGGTAGCACCTAAAGTGCAGAAGATTGCAACGAAAAATATTAATGTGACAATGCCCGGGGCTAATTTTCATATACAGAGGCACATTTTATATGATTAAACGTATAACTGTTCTAATACTACTCATTACAAAGTATATAAAGGATCTCTATTATTTATATTTTTATCGAATCATGGCATGTATTTTAATATATATGTCGTAGGACAGATTGAAATGCAGTTGAGTTTAAGATCGTCCTAGTTCAGATTGAAATTTTGATTTGAACTAGGACAAAATAAAATTTTGATTTGAACTAGCTGAGATTAAAACGATTGCCAAGTGAACTAGTTCAGATTAAAATTTTGATTCGAACTAGGACAAAATGAAATTTTGATCTGAACTATTCGAAGCGGACTAGTTCAGATTGAAATTTTGACCTGAACTATTCAAAGCGAACTAGTTCAGATTAAATTTTTGTTCTGAACTAATTCAGATTGAAATATAAAGACAGTGCGACTGTTTTACACTGGCGAACAATATACTTGCTCGAAGTGGATAAAACATTCTAGATGTTACCAAATAATTTACAACTGATTTTAAGAAGCATTCAAGCCACGCTAACTGTACACGAAACATATCAGTGGGAGACTGGATACGGATCTTCTTAACCCAGACGAAATTCATTCTATCGAGTCTTCATCATTCCGATTGATTCTTTTCGAAATTCATAGGAGTTTTAATAGAAGAATTCTCTTAGTCGCATCCTATTCGTTTTTCTTGTTGGACTCGACACCCAGATTAAGCGTCCTAGGAAGAATAAAATAACTGTAGAGAGCGTAGAAAAATATTTTTCATCATGGATAGTTCTTTGGAAAACTACCAAGTATTTGCCTGGGACCAGAGAACATGTAGCAGTTAAAATCTATCCATTTTACTAGGAACTCAAGTCGTATTCCCAATATCTAAAAAGAGATGAAAATACCGGAAAAATCTCTACCAGACTCGACATAGCGTCAGCATCTACTCTGGCGTTAAATGCAGGAAAAGAACTAAAAGCATTCGAACAAGAGCTCAGTATAGCAAAACTTTGCCGTGGCGGCGATCCCAAATCTACAACTTGTTTACTAGTATATTTCCGGTATTTGTTTGTTGTCGCCCCGCCAAAATTTTTTAATTTTTTCAATATTATCGTATCTTTTAGCTTGTGGGTGTGGGTTTGTGGATATAGATGTGTGGGCGTGTGTTAGGGCGTGTCGGTGTGAGTGTAAATGTGTGGGTGTCATAAAACGTTAAAAGATAGAATAATATTCAAAAATTAAAGAATTTGTCAGGGCGATAACAAACAAGTACCTGTTTTTCTTTTTTGTTAAAGTTTTGACATTAAAAAAAGTCCTATTTTTACGATCAACAGAGAACTTTTTTTGATAGAAATGTAACATATTTCGAATATTTCAATTTGTTGTCTCTATATTTTCAGTCTAACCTAGTTCAAATCAAAATTTCAATCTGAACTAGTCCGCTTCGAACAGTTCAGATCAAAATTTCATTTTGTCCTAGTTCGAATCAAAATTTTAATCTGAACTAGTTCACTTGGCAATCGTTTTAATCTCAGCTAGTTCAAATCAAAATTTTATTTTGTCCTAGTTCAAATCAAAATTTCAATCTGAACTAGGAGGATTTCAAACTCAACTGCATTTCAATCTGTCCTACGACATATACATAATATATGATTCGATTTCGTGTCGAGTTGGGTCGGGTCGGGTTGGATTGGATTGAATTAGGTTGAGATTGGAAATTCATATTCATAAAAATGATTCACCCAACCCGACCCAATCTGAACTTAGATTTCAATTGCATTTCTGTATCCTTTTATTTTAATTAGAAGAGTTTTCTATGATTATCCGTAAAAGCATTCAATTAAATTTCCTCTATAGTCACTTTATTTAAATTTCCAGAAAAGTAGAATTTACCATCGCATGCTTTTTAGATGAGCTGAAAGTGTTTCAAAAGTAAAAAGCAACAATGTTCAATTTATATATTGATCTTTCTTTTTCTTAACAATATTTAGGAGAAAAATTTTTCTATCACTAATTTAACAATAGAGAGTAAAAGATTTCTATCAAGAAAATGCACATTCTTTTCCGAAAAGATCACCAAACAATATCCTCGTTTCGATAAAACTCTACTTGGTTTTTTCCTTGTGTTTTTGAAAGAAAATATTTGATAAACTACTAATTTTTTTAAAAACTTCTACTTTTGGAAATTTGAATTGGGCAAGCTTGATTAGATATTATATTCGATTTATTGAAAATTAATCCAAAAAAAAAACCATGAAACTATCACCAACTAGACGATTGATTTCCTCTTACATTTGATACATTGCCAAGAGCCATCCTATATTCATTCACAGAACATAAGACACGAAAAAGAAATGCTTCAAAATCATGTAGAAAACAGTCAGGTTCACTTTCGATATATCGCATTGTAATGAACAACGGTAACTTGAGACATAGTACAAAAATATATAATGATGGAAGTTCAATAATAGAGTTATCATTCGATCTGACATAGTGCATAAATATAATCATGAAAAAACTATATGGAGCCAATGTAGCTTCAATTAACCATCGAATCAAGACTACATTTGTAATAATGGGGCTGGTATTCGTCAAACCGAGTTGTACGTAGAAAAATGCAGCATTTATATAAACGATTATCAATATCACTTCTTGTTTTATTAAACGAATTATGTACCAATATCTTTCTTCATGTTGATATCTGATTATCCAACTGTTTTCCCTATTAAGATTGAATTCAACCCAATCAAGACGGGTGAAGAATGTGACGAAAGAAATTATTGGCATTAAGATCGTTAAAATGAAATATCCTTGGACGTAAGTTGTAAGGATGACATGATCGAAAAGCCAAATTTGTACATTACCAATGCATGATAATTTTTTCTGGTCGGTTAATGCTGATGTATTCATCGATCTGAGTAGAATTTCAATATTTGAGACCATTGATTATATTTCTTTATTAATAGTTATTGATGTGACATAATATATTCTGCTAATATATAAAATACACGATGTCTATAAATGTTTATATGTCACGTTCAATTTTGCCTAATTTTTTCTTTCTTTTATCGATAGGTTACTCGTTGAATGATAGGCTAAGGTTATTCGCCGTTCATCTATTTATTACGTTCAATTCCGACTGGTCATGTTTTTTTTCTCTCTCGTATCAATAGGTTAAGATAAGCTACGTACACACACTAGATACAATAGTGTGTGTAGCTTATCCTTGTTGATTTCAACCAATCAAGTTATATTCCATGTTTCACGTAAAAAATTTTAAATGACTTTCTTCTAATTAAAAATCGATAAAAATGGCAATATTGTACTTTTATCAAAATTAGATCATTTGCCGTTTAATCGATTAATACGATAAAGGTCATAAAACGTTGTTTTCCTCGAGTTCAATTTAGAGTCTATCTTTTTTTGTCATTTTTCTGACTTCGCAGCGTAGCCAGTCAAGTGTATCAGAATAAGTTAGACTTTGGTACGCATATCAGAATTTGAGATGGGATATCAATAAATATTGATTCATTTAAGAAAAACTTTCGATAAATTAAATGGAAAATGATTATTTCATGATTAAATATCCATTAAAATGGTGCTATCTGGATTCGATTAACATCTGATTTGTCAAATTTAAAGATAGATCCGATTTTATGTTAATCTTCCTTAATTAGTTTCTAAAAACTAATATGAATCAATAAAAATTTATTTATTTATTATAAACTTCTTTAAAAGGGACTAAAATCAATTGAAATCTAGTTTTAAATTAAAAAAGTGGCTTTCATTCAAAACGAAACATTGTCATCTTGATCGATTTTGAAGGAAAAAACAATCGATCTAATTCTGAGTTTTCTTCAAAATTTTGTACGTGGCTTATACACCACGTAACTGCTAACAATTCAGAAGCTTTTTTATACGAACCCTTTGAAAATTTCATCTAGGCAATAAATGAAAACAAAACATTTATTTAGTTTGATGACACTCGTTCAAACAGAAACCCCAGTGAACTATCAACTACATTAAGCAACATGGACATTTCTCAAGTAGAACAATGCTAAACATATACTAAAATTAACAGTGGGGAATCTCATGATGAGAGTGCCTTTACTATGTTTGAATTTATTTTTAGCAGATAAGTACAATTCGAAATGTTTATATAGAGTTGTAGAGAATTCTTCGGGCTATCCGAATATCTATTTATTTTTCCCAAAATGATAATTTATAGTAATGATTTGTGGGAAATACTGTGTCCAACTATTTTTTGCCAGGGAGATATATCAACATAAAATTGTTAGGTCCTTATGTAAAGTTTTGGAGCTATCAGTCAGTCTTTCAGAGATTTGCTAAAAAGTGGGTCTGGGGAAAATTCGTCGAACGTTTTATCCGGTAGAAAAAAGATGCGCTGTCATCGCAGCTATCTCTTGGTGAAAACCGCAGGTCTCTATCTCGTTTTGTTCTCAAGATATTCAAAAAATAGTCACACCCACGAACTTTTTAGATGAACTATAGATATAAAGAAAAAAAATATCTTAAAACAAAAAGGAACTAAAATCTAATATATTTTTTGGTATTGAAAAAAAGAACCAATCTTTTATCTTAAATTTTAGCTCGTATTACAACATATTCAAAATTAAGTGTAAGACGCCATAATTGTTCATGTTCTGGTAAATTATCGTTTTCACTATTTTGTTCTTTTGGTGCAGGTGGTAACAGTGTTTTAACTATATCAACTATATCTTTTGCACAACCCCATGAAATTGTTATACCTGAACCAGAATGATCATAACAATGAACAACATTAATACCGTCAGCTGTTTTTTTTTTCATGTTCAAGACATACACCATCATCTCGATAAAGTCTTAAACCAACTTGTACTTTACCATGACGAATATGTTCAAGAGCAGGTAAACATTTAGAACATATACAAAGAACATTTTTAGTATCGTTTTCATCTATTATTGTGTTCCAATTATTTAATTGAAATGTTTCACCTAAGACAACAGAATTGGAGTATGGAATTATATATCCAAAACCATCTTCGGTATCAAATTCATAAACTGATTTTTTCCATGCTGCATGAACTTGAATGATCTCTATGATTAAATAATTGACAAAAAATAAAATACAAATTAATCTTACTTGTCCACGTGCTAGTCAAACTATTAAATCTCCAACTAAATCTCGTGAAGCTAAACCAGTACAATTAATAACAATATCAGCTTTATCTTTTAATTCAATAAGTGAATAAATTTTTCTTTTAATAAATTTTACTCGAGAATCTTGTAGAAGATAACATTGTAATTGTGATAAATAACGACTAATTTCAATAGTTATTGATGACATTGAAAAACCTACTACTGGTTTTAAATGATCAAACATACTAATTTCATGTTTATCTAATGTTCGAAAATGTCGGGCTAATATTGAATAACTTGGCTTTTCAAAAATTTTATCATCATTTTTATTTTGACTATTATAAACTCGCAGTGCATAAAATGGCATTTTTAAAAGACTAACATGAGCAGCTTTAGCTGAAAAAATCCACTCATAAAAATATCATATGAATAATCAGTCCAACGAAGTGTTCGTTCATCAATCTTTCCTAAGCCATAAGATACCTAAAAAACCAGTTGATACATCAGCAGTTGTTTCAGGTGAAAATTTTTCACTAATTATTGTTAATTGAAGATTTTTATTTTCTCCATATTTCTTTAATACAGTACATGCTGTAGTTAAAGTAATAATACCAACGCTAACTATGTTACGACAGATAGAAGTAGACGATGACATAATGTATATGATGAAAACAAAAAACAGCAAAATCAAGGAAAGAAACTACGTTGGTTAAATATTAATGCATAGATACTAAAGATAAAAACAAGGAGCAATGAACCGATTATCGTTATATAAACTCTGTTTTTCTTTTGATAAGAACAGAAAGAAGAAAAAGTAGGTACTAGATAAAAGCATTTTCAAAGATAACAAAGAAAAGAATAAAGACGATTCAGATATTTTCAATATGAGAAATGATATAACTTGGATAGAGATAAGAGTGGACGACATCTAATCATCAGCCGTCTTTGTATGACACTCGAAAAAGAAAATCTGAAACTAGTCAATAATATTTGAGCTATTTCTTTGATGAATTACATTATGATGGTTTTTATTCAGAAATAAAAATATGCCTGCTGATTATCTTTTTCTTTTGTAAAACCAAATCTATGATCATAACGAGTTAAACAATTTATTCTTTAATTAATTAATCGTAAAGCCTATCTTCGATGATAAAAAAAAAATGAGATATTACACATACATAAATGCATAAACAAGTATTATTGTAATTTTTTCTTAATAAAGTTTTTTCCGAAAATAATGAATGCATCTATAAACAACATTTGAAAAGAATCTCACCGGAAGATGATCTGACCTTTCTAACTATCATTAAATCATTAAGAGTTGTTACCGAATTGTAGTTTTAGTTAGGAAGCCAATCTGACGAGAAGTACTTCTTGTCCATTGAGTTTCACATATACAGCCCACGAAAATTGAAATTATAGCCTTTGATTTTTTTTATTTTTTATTACTAACCTGTTTTTAATCTATTAACCTATTATATATAGGAAGAAGGCCCAGAACGCATTGCATCTTTTGATATATTTACATTGAACATCAAATGCAGTTTAAAGTATAAAAAGTCCATTAGAAAGACAAGTGATATTTGTTTTTTTACAATTTTTTTCATGCTGTAGCATTTTTTATTTCGCATATATCTTGGTTTAAGTAAATGGTGAAACCTTGAACTTTTTACCAAAAGATGCGCCGTGAAAAGCTCTACAAAAGCTGTATGATCGAATTTCTTTTTTACTTGTTCTGAAGGCTTTTCTTATACTCAAAATGAACACCTTATATTTCAGTGTCACTCCCGATCATGCTGAAAAATATTGGAAAACTTTCCTGTTCTGCGTATATCTCGACTTGGAAAAGTGATGGAACATTGAATGTTTTTTTAAAAGATGTGGCATCGAAAGCTCTACAAAACGTATATAAAAACTCTACAAAACTTGTATAGATCAAATCCTATAGCCAATCAGAAAAGTCCTCGACCTATCTTCAGAAAATGTGGGAGGCGACATCGGCATGTAAGTTGTGCATTTTCAGTATAAGAAAAACCATTAGAACAGGTAAAAAGAAATTCGATCATATAGCTTTTGTAGAGCTTTTCACGGCGCATCTTTTGAAAAAAAATTCAAGGTTTTATCATTTACCTAAGCCAAGATATATGCCAAAAAAAACACGTTACAATATTATAGACATCCGAAATTTGTAAAAAGAAAAAATGTCACTTTTTCTTCCGATACACTTTTTATACTTTAAACTGCATTTGATGTTCAATGTAAATATATCAAAAGATGCAATGCGTTCTAGGCTTTCTTCCTATATATATTAGGTTAATAGATAAAAAAGATTCGTAATAAAAAATAAAAAAATCAAAGGCTATAATTTCAATTTTCGTGGACTGTACACTGACAATTAATATATTATCAATCTCCAACTCATAGAAATGTTTTTGTTCCTTGTTTATATTAATTGTTGTTTATAACCATGAAGGCTTTTCCATATTCATTTTCATTGATTTGTTCATCATTCAGTTAGTAACAAAAAGTCTTTTAACCAAATAGAAAAATATCTACAAAACACATCTGATTTATTTTATGTTATGACATAAATAATAATTAAAGACTATACAAATATAAATAGACTATGAATTAAAGAGAGACAAGAAAATTTTATTCAATAAGACCATGATTAGCAAGTAAACGCGTTAAAAATGATATTGTATCGCCAAGTTTGAATCGTTTGCTACTCAATGTTTCAATGGGTACAACTAGAAAAAAAAGAAAAAAAAACATAATATGCATCTTTTATTACAGTAGTATGGAATATATCTTAAAAGAACTTAGAAAAACAATAATAGTACAACAATGCACTACAGATTAACTATTTTATATTAATGAATTCATCATGGAATTTAAGATGAAGCGGTCATCCTTTTCAACTAGCGATTCTAATGACATTTCCAGTTAAAAATCGATTCATAGAATTTCTGCATTTTAAATGGTAGAAAACTGGAAGTTTTAGCACACATATTAGTCAATGAGGCGATCATTTCATTAAGTGCGTACTTTTTCGTCAATATTTCCTTGGCTAAGAAAAGTTTCTCAAAAAAAAATTCAACTATTTCGGAATTTTTGGAAGATTGATTTCTCTAATAAGGAATAAAACTTCATTATCAGCTATATATGGGTTAGAATCATATTTGAAAGTATTTCTTAGCGTGATGTCGCATGTGTACATTTCGTTATATTGTATCTTTCTATTCTTTCTCGTTTCTATATTTCGTTTTCTATTTGGTCTTCTGTTTCGTCTATTTCGTTCATATACACGTCGTTGCTATCTCTTATTTACATTCATTCTAATAAACCATTATGTGTGTATACATATATACAAGCAGAGAAAGAATGTTAATAATCAGTTATACAAATTCGTTTATTATACCAATTATTTTTAGATTATCTATTCTTTTCTTATGATTTATCACAACTAACGATTTTAATAAATTTAATTTTGAATTTAGATTACGTCGTATTCTTACAAATGGTAATTTTTATTGTTAATGATCCAAATATTTTTGGAAATCTTAAAATATTTTTACGTTTTATTTTATAGGATCATTATCAAGTTATCGTTTATTTATTGAATGCATATCCAAAATTATTACGTGGTTCATTATTTGGATTTTTACATGGTCTTATGGTGGCAATGACTTTCTCGAGAACAATGCGAGGAATGGTTTATCAAATACGAAACGTTCATTTAAATAATAATGCATTAAATACAAAAAAAGATGATCTTGTTAATAATCATCTATTGTATGAATTAAATTTTTGGCTTACAATAATTTTATCAACTGTTACTAATACTTTTGTTTGGGAGACCGTATCATCTCCACCACATAGTTTATTCATTTCAATTGGAGTAACATTATTTTTGTTTAAATTACCAGAATGGCTACTTAATATAAGATTTTTCTTTATGGGTTCAAGAATGGGATATCTCGAATGCATTAATAGTCTTTGGTATTACAATCAGATAGCAATGGTGGCCACAGCAATTGATATCTTTTTAATTATTGGCATAAGTGGATTGAATCTAATTGCATGGTATTATTCAACATATG